TGATTGTTACTGTGCGATATGAATTGTGGAACAAGCACATGATCTTGGCTAAGCATTTTGGTATAGGGTTATATGTGGCCAAGAGTCAGGTGATGAGGGTGTCATTTACTATGCGGATACCATATTAAATTACACAAATGATGACAAATGGTTGGCCAAGAAAGGCTATACCTAAAAAGGACTAAAGGTGTGCAGATAGCAAAAAATGACGCTAAGGGGTGTGCCAATAGTCATTCTCCAAAAGCAGTAGACTCTCTCTCTAATCAATCTAAACCTAATATTGCAAAAACTGCGCGAGAATTCGCGGTTTCCGAGAGCCGGCTACGACGACGATGGAAAGGTGGAAAATCGCTTTTTCAACGACAACCCAATGGCCGGAAGCTTACTCCTAGATAGGAGGGGGCTTTATGTGATTATATTAATTACTTTGACGAGGTCGGAGTATCAATAAACCGCCGTTAAATTACTATGGTAGCCGATTTAATTCTCGAAGAAGATCACTTTTAAACCCACCCTGATAGCCGCGAAAAACCCCCTAAAGCTGGCGATTATTGGCTAAAACGTTTTCTTAAACGTTGTCCTGAGTACTATGTTCGACGCCGGCGAGCTCTTAATATTGAAAGAAGTGCTGCACTTGATAAATCAGTGGTTGAGAGGTGGTTTAAAGACTACGAGCAGGTTATCACTGAGCATGGGATTTGCTAATAAGATATCTTAAATTTTTGACGAAACTGGCTTCCAAATTGGTGTCGGACGAGACTAGTTTATTATTATAACGCACTAAAAAAGAAGCTATTTAACGGCTTAGTTACCAATCGAGAGTCTATTATAGTTTTGGAGGCTATTTTAGTAGATGCTTTTGTCTACCCGCCGCTTATAGTTCTAAGCGCTAGGTAGGTTTTACTACGCTGGTTTGACTCTGTTAATAGCGATGAGTTTTTAGCTGTAACAGATACCGGTTATTTCAATGATACTTTAACGTAATTCCCAAGCGAGCTGGACACCCCAACCAGCCTTTTAATTTTAAAGGCATTTTTTCATCCAAAACTCCATCAAATTCAATCAGCTAAATTCTAGGTCTGTCTGGACATGCATCTCTTCTATGGCCCTGATTTTCACATGCACCGCATTTCGGTAATGCCCTTGTTCTTGGTAATAAAGGTGCTTCCCTGTGCGCGCGGACCTGGGGGCGGGGAGGTTCAATCACTTCCTCTGGTTGCACAATTAAAGCAGTAGCTTCGTGAACTGATAAGCCCTCTGTAGCAGGTATCTGCTTTCGAGATCGAGTTTTTTTCTGCTTCTTTTTCTCGTTTTCCGATCGTAGATCGTGAACTTCTTTA